TTGCATTTTCGCCAACCGCAGAACACCAGGCCCGCAGTGCCTCGCCCAACAGACAGAAACTTGCCCATCTAGCACCAGGCCCACACATGCCGAGATCCCACCCTGACTGACCTCAACCAGACCCTGATCCATCACATGTAGCTCGGGCGCCTCGCGTCCTCCCAATCGTCCTACTCTATCATCAGCAGCGCAGTGCTTCAACCAAACAGCGATTGCAGCAACCCTGCCGGTCCAGCTTGCACGGCGCACCCACGGCCTCGAGGCCGCAGCTGCCGAGGCCAACTTAGAACGCAGCGGGCCGGAGGGAGTTGATAGTCACGGCGAAGCCTCCCTCGAAACATGGATCGAACCATAGTTTTTGTGTGTGCGACCCTTCGTAGCAACGCCATGCCGTTGCAGTTCGCGCGTCCCCTACGAGCAGACTTGGTGTGGACGCTTCGGAGGGGGACGGGGATGGGGCGACGCCCTCCAGAGGCCCTTTTAGCAGTCTCCCTGGTCCTCCTATAAGTCTGCCTGGGCGGCCACGGCGACGGACCCTTCCCCATGACGCCTTAGGAACCGAACGCGACAACAACAACAACAGCAACAACAACAACAACAACAACAATAACAACAACAACAACGACAACAACAACAACGACAACAACAACAACAACGACAACGTTAACCACAACCACAACCACAACCACAACCACAACCACAACAATCACCACAACAACAACAACAACAACAACAACAATTACTAGCACGTGGGGACACTCCGTTCTCACCAGTGCCAGGGTTTTCATAGGAGGCGGGCAATACCCCCACTTTGTGGGGGGGCCGGTTCAAGCTCTACCAAATTTCCAAACGACTCTTCGCCACCACCCACACCCAGCTTCCCGCCCTATGACGTTCGGACACTTCACTTCGTGGCATGCGGACGACCGTGGCTACTATTCAGGGCCCCGCGGCCGACGACGACGGCGTGCGCGCGCGAAGAAAAAACGAATGTGTCCCGCATGGTATTATTTGACAGGGATGATGGCCCTGGCAGGTGCGCAACCGTTGTCGCAGAAGTTCGAAAAAGTTGCTCGCAAAAGCCCGTTTGACAGAAATGTTTAAAAAGTGTTGGGTTTCCTACGAATCCGCAAGAGCGCGCGGGATGAGATTTTGACATTTTTTTGTTGAAAAACCATTGGTTTTTTGATGTTTTTATGTTAAAATCGCTCCGAACACTAAGCTTTTGGAAGGATTTCGTCTTGCGCGCGCGAATGTCCACTTTACCTTATTTTTTGCAAGGGATTCTTGAAATTTGATTATATTAGAACAAGAAATGTCATTTTATAGTGTTTTTTTGTAAGGGAAAACGGATTACAACAAAACAACCGGATCTGGATCACATCGTTTTACCCGAGGCTTCCTCACGAAAATGATGAAAATGTAGCTGCGGCCTAGGCGGCGCAGGGGGGGCGCGCACCAGGGGGCCCAACAATAATTATTCTTTAGAATAAATAATGTTCAACAACAACAACAACACAGAACAGGGCAAATGCATTGGCGGGGGTCCGTCCTCACCGGCTTGCCCACAGCCGTACGGCACGCGCTGGCCGCGCCTGCTCTGGCCACTTGCCCCGCGGGCCCTCGCCGCCACCTGCTCGTTTTTGCTTGTGCTGCGTCCCGCCGTGTAAAGCCAAGCCTGCGACACGCCACCGGCCCTAGACAACGGAGGGGGGACGTGGAGAGCGTCGGGGGACGACGAGGCCACAACTTTCAGGGGCCAACGTTCATGGCTGAAAGCTCGCGTCCCCTGGGAGCTCTGGGGCTCCGTCGGGGTTCGGGTGGTTCCTTTTCGCTCCCCTCTCCCGCCTCCTCTCTTTCCCAGTTTGTCCTCGTTCCTTTCATTACCGAGCGCCCCCCTTTGAGCAACGACCATGTGCCGCAGCGCGAAAGTCACCGTTGCCTTGCACCCTGGTGTGATCAACCCTTTCACGGGCAGCATCCCGTGGGGGTGGGGATGGCTGCGTCGGAGGAAGAGGACGAGGAGGAAGGGGAGGAGAAGAAGGAGGAGGAGGAGGAGGAGGAGGAAGGGGCGGGGGAGGTAAAGGAGTATGTGAAGGAAGAAGACGAAAAGGAGGAGGATGAAAAGGAAAAGGAGGAGGTGGTGAAGGAAAAGGATGAGGAGGAAGAAGAGGAGGAGGAGGAAGAAGAGGAGGAAGGGGAGGAGGGAACGAACCGAAGTATTGCCGTTGGAGGGCAGAGCCAAAGACGAGAGCTCACATTGTAAGGGTGCCCAACACACCAGTCGCAGCACGGTGCGGTGGCGGACTCCGAGCAAGTTGCCGCCGCGCTGAAAGCCAGCAACTACCTGACCAAGTGGGTGGACTGAGGCCGCAGGCGCCAGCGGGAGCCGCCGATTTCGCCGCTCCTGGTGTAGACGATCCGCGGGTGCTGATGCGTCGTAGTATCGTCGCGGCGCGCACCATCCGCACCGGTGCAAGCGTGTTCGGCCTGGCGGGATGTGGCAGGATATTGCAGGACGTCGGCTCAGAAGTGCCCTGGGGGTGCCGCCGTCACGCAGCACCGTCCTGGGCGATTCTTCATTTTGATTGAGAGTCCTCCTGCATTATGTTGTCGCCATCCGCCGCCAGCCCTTCATTCTCCTCCAGGGTCGTCCACAGCTTCAGTGTGCTATCTTTCGCGTCTGGTTTTGCTCTACCTGTGCCCAGATCCGCGAGCCTCGCCGTGCGGGGTTTGCGCGTTGGGCGGCAGGCATACTATCGCGCGCTCGCGTAGCCATTCAACAAAAACATCCGTATGTCAAATTGGCGTAATGAGCCCCCAGGGGGACGGGCTTGAGGTAAGGAGTGATATGGGCATGGGAGCAAGCGCCTCCCACGCGCCGACGGTTTCGCCGAGGCCGCGAACAATCAACATGTCCGAAGACCCGTTGCAGCCCACACGGCAACGTATTTAATTCACTCGGGCAGCCGAAGCAAGATCTCTGAAACTTCGTGTGGTGCCACCGCGATTCGCTCTTCGGGTCTGTTTCGCGCTGGGGTGGTAGCGAAGGAGTTCCAGCACAGTCCAACCAAACGATATTGTTGCTCCCATCGTACTCAAGGACCACATCCCAGAAATAAGTTCGAGCACCCAGAAAAGTGTCGAAACAGTGTCGAAACAGTGTCAGACGAGTGTCCCCCAAGGCCCGACCACGTGAAAACCCTGGGGGTTCGGTACTTTTGTGGCGCTCGAAATTCTTTCTGGTGATCAGGGCTGAAGTAGGTCGGAACATCATAACCAAACACATGTAATCGTTCAAAGCGCTCCTTCGGAAGAGAGCGCGTCCACGGATATGCGTCATGCTTGGTGGAGACAGCGGTCGTTGGCCTTCGGGTGGCCCTCCCGTCGCCACGGCCGGACACAGCTCGGAAAGGCGCGGCAGTTGGACTGGGCTGCCGATGTCGCAACTCGCCCTGCTCCGAGTCTTGGCAAGCAGTCGCCCCCCCGTCCGCCCCAAACCCCCCTTACTGTCAACCCGCGTAGTAAGGATGGGCAGCCTTCCCAAGGGGTGCCCTTGCATCCTTACCTTTTCGGCCCATCCTTGGCCGCTCTCGGTGGCCGCGGCCCGCTCGAAAAGCTTCGAAATGGGCGTCCAGGGCCCTTGCATCCTCATCGCGCATCCTTCCTATGCGGGTTGACTGTGCCCGTCTCGTTCGCCTCCCTCCCCTCGACTGGCAGGCCCAACTCCAGACGTGCACGTTCTGAGAGGGCGCGTGACCTCACGCGTGGCGCAGCGCTCTTAGCAACCCCCTGGGCGCGCACTGCAAGCTGGCCTGACTTGGCCCGCCCCCATCCCTCGCCTCCGCCGCCCGGGCGTCGCGCGCAGGGGGGGCTGGGGCCCAGGAGGCGGAAGTTGTCAGAGAGAGCGGGGGGTTCTTTCTGTGGAGGGGCCAGAAGCTTCCAAGAAGGCCTCGGCCATGACGCCACGACGCCCTCGGCGACTCCTCCTCCTCCTCCTCCTCCTCCTCCCTCCTCCTCCTCCCTCCTCCTCCTCCTCCTCCTCCTCCTCCTCCTCCTCTTCCTCCTCCTCCTCCTCCTCCTCCTCCTCCTCCTCCTCCTCCTCCCCCGACCCCAATACGAGGTCCCTGCCTCCCTCGCCTTCCACCTGCCTGCCTCGCACCCTGCCTCTCTTTGCCCGCGCCGTCTTCCTCCACCTCCCTCCCGCCTCTTCTTCCGCCCGTGCTTCCTCTCTTCCCTCGTGTGGCGTTCCTCCTCCCCCCTCCCCCCTCTGCTGTCTCGCTCGTCCCCGTGCCTCCCTCCTCGCTCGTCCGATCCCTCTCCCGTCTGCCTCCCCGCCGCCCTCGTCCCCCCCCCCCCACTGACTCCAGAAAAAAGCCCACGGCAGGCTGGCGGAGTAGAGACGCCCAGGGCGTTCGGTAGGCCATGCTGGAGCCGGAGAGGCTGGGCGTTTTGCTTTCGCCCGCGAGGGTAGAGGCGGAGGAGGAGGAGGAGGAGGAGGAGGAGGAGGAGGAGGAGGAGGCGGAGCCCGGGGGGCGGGGAGGAGGAGGCCCGTATCCCTGGCCCGCTACAGATTGTCCCAGTCATCTCCGAAGGGCCGGCGTGCTCGCGCGCGACCGTCGCCCATCTCTGAGTCGCCCTCTGCGCCCACGGCAGTTGCTCGCTGTTTGCGGCTCGTTCCCGCACCCCCCCTTCTCCCCCCTCGGAGGCCTAGATGGTGGCGCCAGCACCAGTATCGGCGATGTGTTCCACCGAGGGAAGATGAACCCGATCTCGGTGATCGCTCCCGCCGCCCGCCCCTGGGCTGGGGACATTTCCCCGCCTCGCCCGTCCGTCCGACCACTTTCTGAAGCTCTGCTGAGCTCTCTTGAGGGAGCGGGGGGGCCCCCCAGAGCCCTTCGGAGAACATGCAGCGGCCTTTGGGAGGGCGGGGAGCAGGAGGATTTCTGTCCTCACCCATCGGTTCCCCTCCCGCTTGCAATGCTGCTGCGGCGGTGCAGGAGTCGCGTGTGGCCCCATGGTGTTCGTGCCCTTCCTGGGGGCCGCCGTGGAGATGAAGGGCGCGGCGCAGCCTTCGCACGAAGGCGGGCGGGAAGGCACTCATCCCTCCTCCTCCTCCTCCTCCTCCTCCTCCTCCTCCCCTCCTCCTCCTCCTCTCCTCCTCCTCCTCCTCCTCCTCCTCCTCCTCCTCCTCCTCCTCCTCCTCCTCCCTCCTCCCTCCTCCTCCTCCTCCTCCTCCTCCTCCTCCTCCTCCTCCTCCTCCTCCTCCTCCTCCTCCCCCTCCCCTCCCCCTCCTCCTCCTCCCTCCTCCCCTCCTCCTCTTCCTCTCCTCCTCCTCCTCCTCCTCCTCCTCCTTCTCCTCCTCCTCCTCCTCCTCCTCCTCCTCCCCCTCCTCCCTCCTCCTCCAAGTTAGATGGCTCTTCTTTATATGTGGCGCAATTGGCTCAAAGTGAAGGGTGCGAGCGTAGCTCTGCAGCGGCAGGGCGGCCCTGTCTCTGTACGTGTGTTTGTATGTGTATTCGCGGCTTGCTCACTGGGACGAGCGGTGAGGAGGACCTGCAGGGAGGAGGATGAGGAGGAGGAGGAGGAGGAGGAGGAGGAGGAGGAGGAGGAGGAGGAGGAGGGGAATTGTGCCGTCCTCGCTTCCTTGGGTCTCCTGGTGTTCCCTTCGTCGCCACGGCTGGGCGCAGCTCGAGCAAGCGGTGAGACGCGTTCCAGAGCACGCCGGGCGGGGGCCCTTTCTCGATGACGAAGAAGGCGACGACGGAGACACGCGCACAAACACACATGGACACGGTTGTTTGTGTTCGGATTTACAGAGCAGTGTTTGCGTTTAGATTCTTTTTTGCGTTCGTTGAGGAGGACCTCCTCCCCCTCTAACTTCTGGCGGTGGCGGTGGGAACCAGGCCCACCATCGGTATCGTTTCGCCGATCCCCATCCCCATCCCCATCCAGACCCCCAGCATCCTTGCACCCCAGTTGGGGACGCACACCTTGAAGCCTGGAGGGAACGGCTCATATCCCCATCTAGGGTGTCGATCGGCCAGGCAACGTTCACGGGGATAGGGATAGGTTAAACGATGCCCACACCATGAGTAGCCAGCCGGGGTTCCGCCGCGTGCCCGGCTGATGGCCAGTCTTGGGCGCGTCCTGGACGCGATCTTGTGCGCCCCGTGCGTTGGGGGTGGCCCCGCGGGGGGGGGTCGCCTGGTGCCCAGCCGGTGGCCAGCCGTGCGTCCCTCGCGGGTGGCTCCCTGGGCTGGGCGAGTCGGGCAAGTTTCGCTTGCTGCCCAGTTGGAGGAGGAGGGGGAGGAGGAGGAGGAGGAGGAAGAGGAGGAGGAGGAGGAGGAGGACGTAGGGCAGGAGGAGGAGGAGGAGGAGGAGGAGGGACAGGAGGAGGACGAGGAGGAGGAGGAGGAGGCGAAGGAGGAGGAGGAGGAGGTGGCTGGTGCCCAGTTGGTGGCTGGTCGTGGGCGCCGCCCCGTCCGCCAGGTGGCTCCTCCGGGGCTCTCGCCCGGTGCTCCGGGTGGTGACCGCCGTCGTCGGGCGCCCCGTGGGTGGCCCGTGGGCGGCCGCATCGTTATGCGCCGCGCGGTTTGCACCACATCGATGGCACCACCTGGCTTTTGCAACGAAGGAGCGCCTCGGCCATGAAGCCATCGACGCTCCGTTCGGCACATGCAGAGCCTTTGTGGCGCGTGTGGGCGAAGCGCCCGCGCTCTGGAAGGCGGACATGGGCGCCGCGTTCAGGCGAGTCCCGCTGACACCGTTGTCATCATCTAGCCTATACGGCATAGCTTGCATCCTATGGGAGCTGTCACCGCTCAGCCTACACCACGCAGCATGCACCGCACAGCGTGGCACCGCACAGGCACCACATGGGTTACACCGCATGGTTTTTACCACATGAGCGACGCAACAACAACGGGTTCGACTGCGCGGACATTCGCGCGTAAGTTCCCCACGTAAGCACCTTCGTCTCAAACGTGGCTTGCCGCGCTGGTGGCCCTCGTAAGCCACCGCGTAAGTTCGCTGTGCCACGCGTAAGACCCGTTTTTGATCGTCATGCACATAACATGTCTTAATTCACGTGACTTGCAGCACCGCGGTGCCCTCTAGATACGACATGGCTTGCATCTCATGGGAGCTGTAACCGGTTAGCCTACGCCACGCAGCATGCATCGCATCAGCATGGCTCAATTCACGTGACTTGCAGCACCGCGGTGCCCTCTAGATCTGCCTCCTGAACCTGCTCTGGAGGCGCCGACGTCCTGTTCGTATCCGGGCGGCTCCAGGGTTCCGAGGCGGTCTCCAGCCCAGAGGCGACGAGGCGCCCGACCCCAGAAAGGCCTCCCTCATCTCTTCCCACACCTTCCTCTTGGCATCGCTTGGACCTGTGCAATGTTCGTCGGCGAGGACCATCGAGGAGCATCCTGCGAAAACCACGCACGAAACAGAACAATGCACGGGGAATGGACGTCGCCCGAGCGATGGCAATGGTGAGCAAGCGACCGGGGGCCCTTCCCCTGGCCCTGGAATCGTCAAGAAGCGGCCAGCCCGATAAGCTGACATCGGTGTCGAGACGTCGGGGCGTCCTGGTCGACGGCCGGGTCGATGAATGGACACCAGAGTCGAGGCGGCCAGCTCGATCCACTGACAACGGCCAGGTCGAGAACGGCCTGGAGAGGGAGTCGAGATATCTGGGGTCCGCGTTCTGCGAGCAAGTCACCTCCCCCGTTATGGCTCGCGGCCCCCCGTCTTGACATCCCCCTGCTCCCGCCCCTTCAGGCGCGGGGCGGGACGAGGTCTGCCCCCGTCCCCTCCCCCTTGGAGAAGCAGCAGCAGGAGGAGGAGGAGGAGGAGGAGGAGGAGGAACAGGTCTGGACGGAGCTCGCGGTGGCAGCAGGAGTCCTTACGATACCTGCCTTTCGGCGCTCTTCGTGGCAGCAGGACGACTGGACCTCACCCCTTCTCTTTCCTCCTCCTCCTCCTCCTCCTCCTCCTCCACTTCCTCCTCCTCCACTTCCTCCTCCTCCTCCTCCTCCTCCTCCTCCTCCTCCTCCTCCTCCTCCTCCTCCTCCTCCTCCCCCTCCTCCTCCTCTTTCCTCCTCCTCCTCTTCCCCTCCTCCTCCTCCACTTCCTCCTCCTCCTCCTCCTCCTCCTCCTCCTCCTCCTCCTCCTCCGGAAGCAGTTGAAAGTAGATCGGGTTCGGGCTCGCCCACAGCATTGCACACAACGGCCCAGCCATTTTGATTTTTGAGGTATGAGGGCGCACGCCCGAAGGCCCTCGAGAAGACGACCTGCGCCTGCCGGCGCCGTGGAGCTCCCCCGCGCGCCGCCTCTCGCCCCCCCACCCTCCAAGACTCGGCCACGCGCAGAGGGACCCTGAGATCCTGGCGCCACATGTTTTTCGAGCCGGGCGTTGTCGCGCCTTTTCGGGCCCCGGGACCCTCACAGGTCGATCCGAGTCGAGAAATGATGCGGAAAGATGGGGTCCAGGGCTCTAGGCGCCTCTCGCCCTTCCCCACCCCCTCGGCTGCACGTGCGAGCGACCTTTCGCCGGAGTGACCTTGGGTGGGGGCCCCCTGATCGCCGAACGCGGTGCGACAGAATTGGCTCGTGCGCCCGCTCAGGTTGCGCACCAGAGGGTACTCTTGGCTAGGGTCAATCCTCCGCCTCCTCCTGCTCCCTCCTCCTCCTCCTCCTCCTCCTCCTCCTCCTCCTCCTCCTCCTCCTCCTCCTCCTCCTCCTCCTCCTCCTCTCCTCCTCCTCCTCTCCTCCTCCTCCTCCTCCTCCTCCTCCTCCTCCTCCTCCTCCTCCTCCTCTTGTTCCTCCTCCTCCTCTCTTGTTCCTCCTCCTCCTCCTCCTCCTCCCTCCCCCTCCCCCTCCCTCTCCTCCGCCTCCGCCTCCGCCTCCTCCTCTCCCTCCTCTTGCGTGCAGCTGCCCCCCCCTCCAGGGCTCGGCCGCGCGCAGAGGGCTTCTCAGAGGCACCGCTGCTTCTCGGAAGGCGCGGGCCTCGTCTGCACGTGTAGTGCCGTCGCCTTCTGAGAAGCAGCCTCCTTCTCAGAAGCTTCCCGCCCTCCCCTCGTGCGCGCCGCCCACTCCAGGCCTCCCAGATGGGGGCGGAGTGGATGGTGTCGGAGGATCTCGCCGCATCGCCGATGATTGCATCTCGCCGATGCATTGGCGATGCGGCTCGACGTGGGGCCCGAGTTTCTCCACGCACGCGGCGCTGATACATCGCCGACTCCGCGGGCGCATCGCTGATGCATCGCCGGTGCATCGCCGATGCGGCGCGATCCTCCGATCCCATCCACTCGGACCCCACCTTTGGGAGGCTTCCTCAACGCGGCCGGGCGGAGGCCTCATCGCGATCGCGGGCCCCGTGCTCGGGGCCGCGGCGGCCCTGGTGCCGCTGGTTGGGTGTGGGTGGGGGGGGCGTCCCGCCGCCGCCGCCGCCGCGTTGGGTAGCCAACCGTGGGAGCCTGGTACACCATTTTATTTCCCTCCTTGGCGTCGGCCAGCGCCTGGGAGTCGACGAGATGGCGCCGATGCAGCGCCGGCTTGAGCGCCGTCCTGGCTAGCGTCGATTCGCGTTGATTTAGCGTCGACCAGCGTCGACTCGCAGGAGCCGACCGAAGGGAGCTGCCACCGAAGGGGGGGCGTCCCGCCGCCGCCGCCGCGGGTCCGCGAGGGCTCTGCGCCCGCGGGCTGCGGCCGCGCTGCCCGCGGGCTTCTCTCGGCCTCTCGGCCTCTGGGCTGGGGTCGCGGAGGCTCGCGCCGCCTCGCCGCTGCATCGCTCCTGCGGCTCGAGGCAGAGCCCGCTCTGCTTCGCGTGAAGAACACACCCATGAACATAGATGTTTGGTGCTCCGCGCGGGTTTCTCGGATCCGCGCTGCCCCCCCCCGGGGATCCAAGAAATCCGTTCGGAGCGCCAACAGTCTGTGTTTATGGCGTTTGTGATTCTTCTATTCGCGCCGATGCATCGCCGACGGCGCCGATGCATCGGCGATGCGGCGCCCTCGTCCACAACTGCACATTCTGAGTATACTCTGCTCTCCTCTCTCCCTGCTGGGCAGATCTTCGGCCATCTCCGCGCAGTGGTTGATGTTCCTTACGCACCAGATTCACAACGGGTATGCGTCTTATGGGATGTGTGCAGTCCGATTGTTTGCGGTGTTTCAGAGGAGTGTCCCCCGCTGCAGCGTGGGCCCCATTTTCGGATCGGCGCCTTGCTATCGCCATTAAGAATAGCGCTCTCGCCCCAGCGCGGGCCACTTTTCTGGACACAAGTCCTTTTTCATGGCTGCCCCCCCCTTCTTTCCCCTCCGCCCGCCTTCCACTCCAGCCCTGCTGCGCCTCCTGCGCCTCCTGTCCCTCACTTCCGCTCCAGCGTCTGCTGTTGTTCGTCCTCGTCCTCGTCCTTGCTCCTCCTCCTCCTTCCCCTCGTGCTCATGCTCATCCTCATCCTCCTCGTGCTCATCCGCCACCTCCTCCTCCAGTGGACGCAGTTCACTGCATTCCCGATTGCGCATAACGCAGTGGGGTTCTCCTTCCGAGTTCCAGGTCCGCTATGACACGCGTCGGCGGATAGAGAAGACGCGGCGCAATGGCAAGGGATGGGTGGGTTGGCAGGATGTCAGACATGGCGGGAGCGCACCCGCCTTGCCCCGCCCGCGTCAGCCCCCCTGCCCTCCTCCCCTGCCTCCGCCCTCTTCCTTCGGCCTCCTCCGTCCCGCCAAATCCCCGTCCTCCATTCCTCCTCCCTCGTCCTCCCTTCTCTCTCCCCAAGGGGGGTGGAGCTGAGCGTGATATCAATAAGTTTGGTTTCGGTACTCGGCGTGGTTATCGATACCGCACGCCTCACGTTCTTTGCTTCTCCTTTCTCTCGCCACACCCCTCAAGCATCCTCCATCTGCCCTCCTCTTCCCTGACTCCTCCCTCTGCCTCCCTCCCGGGCCTGCACTCCCTTTCCGCTACGCGCAAAATGCGGTAGGGGTAGAAGAAGGCTGTTTCTTAGACGGTGCCGGCCTTATCAAGAGATGTACGACCGGCGCCCTCTAAGAAGCAGCCTCCTCCTAAGCAGCCTCCCCCCCTCCCGCTACCCCCTTTTGCGCGCTGCCAGCCCTTCCCCTTCTCCTTCCTGCGGGGGGGCGGTCGTGCGCAGGGGCTCCCGCGCGCAGCGCGTCCTGTCGGCGCTTCAGCTGCGGGCGTGCCTTCGTCGCGCCGATCTCTCGGGGGCGGCGTGTTCCCTCGCGGGGCAGCTGCACGCGGCTCGCGCGCGCGCGCCCGCGAGCTGGCTGCGCACGCCTCCGTGATCTGCTGTTCAGGAGGGAAAAAAACACACAGACACAATTAATCCTCGATTCCCAGGAAAATATGGGAAAATATGGGAATTGGGGGGGAAGACAAAAACCCAGAAAATATGAGAAAATATGGGGACTATTTTTATTTGTGTGTATTTATTTGTGTGTCCTAATTTCCCTTTAGCTGTGCCGTCTCAGTGGCGAGCGGCTCTCTCATCCTCCTGCTCCTGTCCCCCCCTCCTCTCCCATCTCGTCTCGGGGGTGGACACACCTCCTACCCTGACACGTCGATTGAGGAATTGGCCGTTTTCGGTTCGCGAGAGTCGGGTCGGGCGAAAGGGGGGGATTGGGAAAGGGGGGGTTACGAAATTTGCTGCATGCAGCTGGTTTCGGCCTCACCGAGGGGCCCATTCCTCGATACATAGCGGCCTCCGGCGCCTCCCGGCGCCGGGAAAATCAGCTACGTGAGCTGATTCTCAAACCCCCCCTTTGCTATCCCCCCCTTTCGCCCGACCCGAGAGAGGGCGTCGCGGCCGTCATTTTTGCGGGTCCAGGTCCGTCGGTTTCGGTCCCAGGCCGTTTTCACGAAGGGGAGGTCTACTAAAGGGAGGTTTGTCCACCGCCGACTCGCTCCCCTCCCCCTTCCCTCCAGCTGCACTCGGACCCTCGACCCCCGCCCGGGCTGCTCGCGTGAGTCCCTGGTGCGGGTGGGCGCTTTTCGAGGGCACCCGCGCTCGCGAGCTCTAGCGCTGATTCACCACCCCTTGTTCATTTGTCTCTCCCTTCCCTCCCGGGCGCTCGGTCCTCGACCCATCCTTTCTCCGGTTGCTGCTCTGCTTGTCATGCTGCCACTTCCTTGTTTTGCTTCCTTCCTTCCTTAGTCGCTGCTCATTCTTGGCGACGTCTCGTGTGACGTTCCCGCTTTGCCCAGCGGTCTCCCGTCTTACGTCGTGGGGCCATTTGTGCCATGGCGTTGTGGAAGAACATGCCTCTCCTCCTCCTCCTCCTCCTCCTCCTCCTACTCCTCCTCCCCCCCTTCCTTCTCCTCCTCCTCCTCCGCCTTCTCCTCCTCCTCTTCATCCTCCTCCTCCTCCTCCTCCCCCCCCTTCCTCCTCCTCCTCCTCCTCCTCCTCCTCCTCCTCCTCCTCTCATCCTCCTCCTCCTCCTCCTCCTCCTCCTCCTCCTCCTCCTCC